TGGGTTAAAACTGAAACAGGGGAAGTTTAGATTGGATCTAAGGAGGAAATTCTTTCCTGTGAGGGTGGTGAGGCACTGGAATGGGTTGCCCAGGGAGGCTGTGAATGCTCCATCCCTGGCAGTGTTCAAGGCCAGGTTGGACGAGCCTTGGGTGACATGGTTTAGTGTGAGGTGTCCCTGCCCATGGCAGGGGGTTGGAACTGGATGATCTTCAGGTCCTTTCCAACCCTAGCTATTCTATGATTCTATGATTCTATAATTGTATGATTCTATGATCTTCAACTAGAGCAGCTTGCCCAGAACCACGTCCATCTTTCTCTCTGTGGCATGGGTGAAGGCCTCTCCTTTTCACAGCTCCCAAAATCTGGCCTTTCCTGCTTAATTATCCATTTCCCAAAGTTTGAATGCTGGACTCCACCAAGGTTCCAGAGATAAACATCATTTGCCTTGGCCATGGGTGACTCATTTGCATTTATCCCTCCTAGAGGATCAAGGAGGAGAAGAAGGAAGGGGATGGTGAGCTAGAGCTAACTCCTGCTCTTGTCTCTCCATTCAGCCAGCACAGAATTAGCTATGATGTGCCTAAATGAACCCAAAAGGCACCGTGGCGTGAGGCGCATCACATCCAAACAGGACGTGGTGGCCTCTTCCCAAGTGCCTGAGCTGCCGCACGCTCCGGCCATACTCCAGCAGGCAGCACAGCCCAGGGACCCTGAGGACACAGCAGAGCTGCTGCCAAGGCACCGAGCTCCCTTCTGGGCAATGGGAGATGGCAGTAACACAGAGAGGTGAATGCTGTCTGGAGCGAGTGACCTGGATGTGTCTGCCCAGGCCTCATACAAAGAGCCACCGTGGTCCCGGCTCCGCTGCTCCAGGGCTTTGTGCCATAGGCCGGAGCGGATGCTGCCCAACGTGTGGAGAGCCACAGCTCTTGCCCAGGCGCAGAAGAGGCCACTGTTCTCTGTGGTACCCAGCATGGCTCTGTGAACCCATCTGCACAATAGACTTGTCAAAGTGGGTGCCAAGAGCGTCCAGCCTCTCCGTCCTCGCTGCCAATGCTTCCTGATAGCAGGCTGCTCTGCAGCCTAATGCAGCTCACTGGGGAAGGAATTCAGATGCTCAGAAGAGAACTGCACGGTATAATAGCAGTTGTCAATGTTTTCTCACTCTTGGAGCTTGAATTGTGGATGTAAGCATGCCATCCTTGTGCAGCACCACTGCTGTGGTTTTCATAGGCCACTAAAGCAAAGGTAAGGTGCATTTGTTTGCTCTGCTGGTTTGTGCATGTGAGAATTGTTATCCAAAACTCCCCCTCCTCCTTTCCAAAGCACTGTGAATCCTTTGGCAGTGGATGGACCACAAACTGGGCAGAACCTGCCTCAGTCCCTCTCCTAACAGGTATTTGCTTGATGTTCCTGAACCCAGGAATCAAGCAGGAGCCCCCAGCTAATGACACAGCCGTGATCCCAGCCAGAAGCTGCTCCTGTGCCTGACAATTAGCGAAGGATGATCTCAAATACCCTGCAATAGGTCTGACAGGGCAGGTACAGGTAAGACAGAAGGTTACTCAGTCTGCCTCCAGCACTGCACAGGGACAGGGCTCCATCCACCCTCACATGACTGCAGGGTTTGCTGCTTTCTCCCTTGTGTGATGAAACAGTTTCCCCTGGGCATTTGCCACTTCTGAGCATTATTTAATGCATCGTGGTACAAATAAAGGAAAATCAGCAATTTCTGCTGCATAGTTTTGCTTGTTTGGGGCTCAGGTTTTATCTCCCCCAGTGCTTTTTCTGGCAGGTTAAAATTAGTGGACTTTTCAGGGGGATCAAGGTGAAGGGAGAACTGGAATTCCATTCTTCTACTGAATGAGACATCATGGGGGAGATTTTTGTTAGATCCTCATGGATAAATACCTTTCCCCCCCTGCTCTTCAAATCAGGTCAATGTGTGGGTACCAAGGAGCAGATTAGTGGGAGGAGCAGGGCTGCTTTTGTTTCCCATTCTCTCCTGGATACGTAAGGCCAGGTTGGACATGGTCCGACATGGTCTAGTGTGAGGTGTCCCTGCCCATGGCAGGGGGTTGTAACTGCATGATCTTAAGGTCCTTTCTAACCCAAACCATTCTGTGATTCCATGACTGATGTGACAGGTTGAAGGCCTCAGATTTCTGCACGGAAAGGCTGGATCTTGTCTGAGTTCAGCACAACTGGCCCCATGAAAGGGTTTAATGCTGGCTCTTTCCTCTATCCATGAGGATACACTGCTCAGACCAGCATGGAAACACTGAGCGATACATGAGAGCGTGAGCGATACGTGAGAGTCCTCCTGCTCCTTACAATTAGGAAAGACAAAAGCTGGCATGAGGTGGTGACTGCTGCTGTGCTGTGCTCAAGGAAAACCTGTTTGTGTGGGAAGTGCTGGAAAAATTGCTCAAGAACGGTGCTTTCCCATGAAAAAGGCCCTGGCTGCTGTTCAGGTCTGTGCTGGAGCTGCGGGCTAGGTGGTTGCTTCAACATATGCCTACAGCCATGTGCTCTGTGTGTGATCTAATCCCCTTTGCTCTGGGGTGTTTGCCCTCACCTAGTTTTGGGTCTGGATCTGTTTTACAGCACTGACACAGGACTTCATAGCAGAGAGAAGCACCTGGGGGATGTCAGGCCAGGAGAGCAGCTCAGCCATGATCATAGACTCACAGGAACATAGAATGGCTTGGGTTGGAAAGGACCTTAACATCATCTGTGAGGTCTCCATCAGCTTCTCTTCTCCAGACTGAACAGCCCCAGTGTTCTCAGCCTGTCCCCATACAGGAGGTGCTCCAGCCCCTGATCATCCTCATGGCCTCCTCTGGACTTGCTCCATGTCCTTTTTATGTTGAGGATGCCAGAATTGTGCACAAGTCAGTTTGCTGGAAGGTGGAAGGGCTAAAATGCTGCACCCATTTCAACAGCAGGTTCTAACCAGGTTTCTGATCCCTACCAAGCAAAGCAGTGACCATGCTTCAGATGGTGGATGAAGGCATTCCTGGGGATCCAGATCATGAATCAGCATTAGGTGCTGAAGGAAATAAGTGACAGGAATGACCATGTGTTACCTGGAGCATCCTTCCAACCCCTGCTTTACAAACTATGAACAAGGGACATCCCTCACTGTCTCCTTTCCCACCTCAGGTGGAGGCTGAAGATAGAAGACAGCTGGAAGGTCTCCTGCAAGCCATAGAGCTGTAAGTCTTGCCTCATGCACTGTTCTTGCTCTTCTACCACCAGACCTTTGTGACAATAGCAGTGTTGGTCTATGCTCAGTTCTGTAACCCTCAAGACTAGAGACATCAGCACGACTGCCACCCAAGCCTGCAGCAGTCAGTGCCTGTGCTTTCACAGGGTGAGGGCTCATAGGCATGGTTTCATTTGCTTGGTACAGGGGGCCCTTTGTCCTCGCCAGCATTCAACAGGATAATACAGACCATAAATCTAGTGCAAAAACTGGAGTGAAAGGGAATGAAGCAGCAATCCATGTGCAGGGGAAGTGCCCTTACGCTGCTGAGTAGTTTGGTTACAACCAGTCCTGAAGCAGGGAATTAGAACAGAGTAAAGTTATGCAGGAGGAAGGTTGTGCTTTAGGTTGCTTGTGCTGCTGCTGTTAAAGAACCAGCTTCCATTGGGACTGCTTTTTTCCCTTTGGGAGGAGATGTGAAGCAGAGCTGCAATGTGAAGTTTAATAGAGAAGTGGGGAAGGAGCAAAGCTCCCGTTTCTTGTAAGTTACTGCATTTGTGGCTTTGTGCACTCACAGGTGAGCACAGACAGCGGGGAATCAGTGTAGGGATCAGTCCCTGCATCATGTACATACTTATACCCTTGCCCCCTCAATAACCCACTAACCATCACAGCACCCACAAATGCCATCTCTCCCTGCTGATCCCTGGTCGCCTCCTCTCCAGGAGGATTTGCTGCTATTTGCCCTTCTTCCCTATCTCCATCCTGTCCACATCAGCACTGCCAAGTCTCTCTGTGGCATTTTCACTACGTCACCCCAGTTAGAGTTACACATCAGCACAGATCTCGTGTCCTTGCTGCGTGCACACAGGAGTTCCCCTGGTAGCACTGGGCATTTGACACCAGCTTTTGAGAAACAGGCCCCCCTTTTAGCAATGAGATGTCCAAGACTGAGCACCGACAGCACCAGGAGCTATCATCACGTTAAACCTGTTCAGGGCTCTCCTGTTAAATCACAGCCCTGTGTAAACCCCACCACCACAGCTACAGTAACACCAGGGCTGCAGAGTCACATTCGGGGTACAACAAGCAGCTCAAACCTCCTCCTCCCGAACCCACACACATGAACCCACGCACAAACCCAGAGCATTAAAACTCCCCTGCAATGAGCCGTTTTCCTTGCACAGTGTTTCTGGGAAGGCCTGGTATTCCTGTGGCAGGCAAGGCAGCCTGTTTCAGCAGTGCCCATCACCGTGGTGTCTGGGCTTTGCACAGCAGGTGCAACCATTAAAAATACGGGTTTCTTTTCAGTAAGAGGAGCCCTCTAAGCTGAGGTCTCTCCCCTCCTGATTCAGCAGGTAAATAATGCCAAACCACATTCTCCTGCTTTGAGATGGTTAAACCATTACCAAGCATCAGCCGGGTCTGGTAGTTCTGCATTTTCACCCCTCTCCTTTAGCTGCCAGCAGACATCCTCTTCCCAAATTAACCCGACCAAAATGAGCTGCAGCACGGATCCGCATCATCGCTCTCCTTGCTCCAAACAGCCTGATATACAAAAGGGACATTTCCTGCAGCAGCCAGACCTGTGGTATTCATTATCCTTAAGCTAAAGGTTGCAGCGGTATCTTTATAAAGATACCACCTTTAATCTCACATCCTGCCCACCGGCTGCAGCAACCCTGCAGCATTCCCTCTTCCCCAGGCAAGCAAGGCAAGGATGCTCCAGAGGGAGCCAGCAGAGCAGGGGTGCATTCCAGCCGCATCCCCCCTCGGATACAGACATGCACCTTCCACCGGCGCCGAGCACTCACGTTGGCGGCAGCGCGGATCCCTTTGGACAGCTTAGCTGCGATTCATGGTTAACCCCGGCCCGTGGAGCGGAGCTGGAGTCCCCAGGGCTGGAACGCAGGCGCCTGAGGGACCCCGGGGCATCCAGGCTGACATATCAGAGCAGCATCGCAGTTAGTAAATACATCAACAACCCAAGCGACTGAGAGAGCATTCCCTGCATCGTGTGCGAGCCCTGTGCTACGGGATCATGGCTCTGTGGCTGCTCTGGGCTTGGTGCAGCCCCGTCGATTCAGTGTTGCTAGCTCGCGTTTTCTGCCAGGGTCTAAAATAGCATCAGGAGCGTTTCATGTTCCCTGTTGGTTTCCCCGGCAGTGCTTGCTGAGCCGTGCTGGGTACCACAGCTCCTCCAAGCAGCACATTTATTTCCTTTCTCCCTTTGCAATTAAGGGAGGGGAGGGGGGGCTGATGAAAACCCTGCAGAGATTGTACCAGCAAATCCCAACCTGAGCGGATTCTGCCATGGCTGAAAGCAGGGGATGGAGGATGCTTGCTGTGCATGGAGCTGATGTGCTCACTTACCCTTCATCTCTCTCAGGAATGCCGGGTGAAGAGGACGGCCTCTGGCTCAGGAGACAAACCCCGAGGAGCCGGGCAGCAGCTACCGCAGAGGCTGCTTGGAAGTTCGCTGCCTCTGTCACAGTGTGTGCAGCTTGCCAGGTAGAGCCTGGATGAGAACACCCCGTGCTTTTCCCCAGATGAATGAGATCAGCACATATCCAGGCAAGGAAAAAAACAGAAGGGAGAAAATGCCATCCTCATCTCTCTGATGGTTTATGACCCAGAGTGGCGGTCTGTGAGTTCCTCTGCTCAGGGTTTGATGGGGTGAATTTCAGCTGGAGAGGGAGTTTCTATTCTGTGCTTGGTGTTAGGGGCACGTTAATAAGAGAGCAAATGGTGTATCCATGGGGTAGCAGGAACCCCGTCCTCAGCAGCGTGGGATGGAGGGCACGTGAAGGGTACCATTGCAAACAGCAGGGATGCCTTTGCAACATGCACACTGATGTTTTTTGACTCAGTCCGGTACCTTGCTGGTACAGACTCCACATGGTGTGAGCAGATCCTCACTCCCCTGGTCCTTGCTGTGCTGAGCAAGGTTGTTCACATTAAGCTCTCTTCTGCCTGGCTGCTTCAGGTTGACAAAGTGCCTTTCTGCTGCCAGGTCCTTCACGTCAAGCATGGTTCAAGCCTCAGCACCTGCCTGTCAGAGAGGTAGAATTGTCACTGTGGGTGACAGGGAGGCAGGGAAAGGGCTTGAGATGCTTGGAGGGCTCAGATGGGCTGAAACCTTTTGATGGCAGGGAGACAAACAGCATCATGGATCTCTGGGGTCTCTGCCCTTGTACTGGGGGATGCTGTACTCTATAACGCAAGAGGACCATGGCATGGCCTTGGCTTTAGCTAACGGTGGGAACATGCATGGCACAAGGATGAGGTGTTTTCCTTTAGTCTTGGCTAGGTGAAAAATGACTGTGTTGGAGGGAAAAGTTGGATGATTTGCTCAGGATCAGCCCCAGGGCTTGTGGCTGGGAACCCAGTCTCTACCCATAGCTTTAGTTACAGCAAACATCCCTTTCCTTCTCCTGAAGGCCGGGGCTGGGCTGGGACTCACAGAGGTACTGACTTCTGCATAAGCTTGGGTGCATTCCTGCATCTGCCCATCCTTCTCATCTGCACAAAACTCCTGTGTGGGATGGGTTCTCTGCCTCCCATACCTGGACTCACTCCCAACTGACAGCAAGACTGGGACATGGGTTCTGATGTGGTTGAGGCAGCCTGTATGAATAGACTTAATAGAATGACAGAATCCCAGACTGGTTTGTGTTGAAAGGGACCTGAAAGCTCATCCAGTTCCAACCCCTGCCACAGGCAGGGACACCTTCCACCAGAGCAGCTTGCTCCAAGCCCCTGTGTCCAACCTGGCCTTGAACACTGCCAGGGATGGGGCAGCCACAGCTTCTCTGGGCACCCTGTGCCAGCGCCTCAGCACCCTCACAGGGAAGAGCTTCTGCCTAAGAGCTCAGCTCAGTCTCCCCTCTGGCAGGTTCAAGCCATTCCCCTTGGCCTGTCCCTACAGGCCCTTGTCCCAAGCCCCTCTCCAGGTTTCCTGCAGCCCCTTTAGGCACTGGAGCTGCTCTAAGGTCTCCCCTTCAGGAGCCTTCTCTTCTCCAGGCTGACCCAGCCTGGCTCCAGAGCAGGAGCACCTTTGTGGCCTCCTCTGGGCTCACTCCAGCAGCTCCATGGGTCTTCCCTGTGTTGTTGGCCCCAGATCTGGACACAGTTCTCCAGGTCGGGTCTCACGATAGCAGAGTAGAAGGGAAGAATCCTCTCCATGACCTGCTGCTCACACTGCTTTAGGGCAGCCTTGCTGTGCTCTCCTGTCACCTGGGGGCCAGGTTGGTTCTCCTGTATTCACAGTGCTCATAGGTATCTACCAGCAGTACCCCAGGGCAGGTTCTGAGCCTGGCAGAGCCTCAGGCAGCTCACTGCTTGCTATAGCGGGTTGGCTTCAGCTGCTGGATGTGCTGCACTGGTGGTGGTGGAGCCAGGGAATGAAGCCACCGTGCAGGGCCTGAGAGATGCAGGAGCAAAGCCCATCAGGGACAAGCTTTAAAGGAGTCTTGGGTTGAGGATAGGAGTCCTAGGGACCAGTGACCAAGTGGCAGTGGGTCCTACAACACAGAGGGGCAGTGCTGCATGGTCCCTTGGTGGTGGACCTCCTGTTGCCTCTGCCTTTGACCCGTGAGGCAGCCGTGGGCATGTTTGGAAGCTACGCGCAAGACTGAACCAACCTACCTCAGCTTGGTGCTTGGGTTAATTAGTCAATACACGTTAAGTGCTGCAGAGATTTAAGGCTTTGCTTAATTGCTCAGTAACTCAATCATCGGTGGCTGCGTGGGTTGCCCGAGGCACACAGTGGATGAATCAGCCTGGCAAGTGCAAGGTAAGGAAGGAGAGAACTTTCCAAGGCTGGGTGACAGGATGATGGGTTGGTTACGAGACAGCAGCAATTAAACTGGGAGCAGGGAGAAATACCTGGAAAAGAGGTCAGATCCTGTGTGGAGCAGCTCTGAGCAGTTTATGAAGGGGAAGGCAATGAATTTATAGCTAAAAAGACCACGAGGAACTTCTTTGAGCTCTCCAGGCTTGGTATGGCCAAGTGAATGCAAAAGAGGTGGGTTTGGAGCTGGGCTGAAATGCTTCAGGGGTGGATTTGGATAAAATGGGGAGCACTTACATGGACTCACTTGTCCTCCCTGCAGGGACTGGCCCCCTGGTATAGGCTTGGGTAGGTCATGAAGCTGCTGAGGATGGAGCAACTGTGTTCTGCAGGTCAGTTCTCCATGCAGCAATACAAGCCAACTGGAACACTGGTGCAGTACAGTCCATCCATCAGCACAAAACATCTCTTCTGCCACCACACATCGTGTCCCATCGCTCAGGACTGGGGTTTGGATGCAAACCCATGCCCTTGTTGCTGTGCTAGCAAATTCCAGCTTTCAGGCCCTTCATTTGTCCCTCTTCCTCCTGCTGAGCTTTGTCCTCTGCTTTTCTCTGTGTAGGAGCTACCCATCTATGCCATTTGGTGAGGCACTGGAATGGGTTGCCCAGGGAAGTTGTGAATGTTCCATCCCTGGTGGTGTTCAAGGCCAGGCTGGACAGAGCCTTGGGTGACATGGTTTAGTGTGAGGTGTCCCTGCCCATGGCAAGGGGGTTGGAACTGGATGATCTTAAGGTCCTTTCCAACCCAAACCATTCTGTGATTCTATGATTGACTCTGCTCTGGAGACCTCTGCACAGGGGAGGAACAGCCTCAGAGTCAGCTGGGGCTTATCCACATTCTTATAGAATCCCAGACTCATTTGGGTTGGGAGGGACGTTAATGTTCCAACCCCTGCCACGGGCAGGGACCCCTTCCACTAGGAGCAGCTTGCTCCAAGCCCCTGTGTCCAACCTGGCCTTGAACACTGCCAGGGATGGGGCAGCCACAGCTTCTCTGGGCACCCTGTGCCAGCGCCTCAGCACCCTCACAGGGAAGAGCTTCTGCCTAAGAGCTCAGCTCAGTCTCCCCTCTGGCAGGTTAAAGCCACTCTTGTGAATAAGCATCCCTCTGAAGGTGAATCCCACTGATACTGAGGCTTTGATTCCGGGAATAGCCCTGTGTGATGACTTCCATCCACCTGTGCCCATTGCTCCTCCAGCTGGGTAAATGGGGGACTCCTTGTCACTGCGCCTCATCCACATCCCCAGGGCTTTCTGTGAGGCTGGATCTGGGAGGGACCTGCCTGCTTGGCATCTGGCTGGCTGGAGAAAGCCTCTAGGCTCTGCCTTGGTGAGACATTCCTATTTTGGGAACCAGGGAGTGGACTGGAATGGTCTGTACTGCTGTGACAGAGCTGCTTGAATGAGCTGAATCTCAGTACCAGGGCTGGGGTGGCTGCATATGGCTCATGTGGAATAAAGCTGTGAGCTCTGAAAGGAGGCAGAGCCCAGGGAAGGGTCATCATGAATACCGTAACCATTGTCTTACCAGCAGCATCAGCGTTTCCCTGCAGGCTCCTGTACCCTGCTCCCATCCTTCCCCTGCGGCTGTCCCTATGGAGCGGCACTATAGGACATAAGCAGTCCGGATACGTTGCCTGGCTCTCAGATGAGACCTGCCTTAGTGCTGGGAGAAGTTGGCATCACCAGCAGAGATCCCACTGTCCCAGCAGCAGCCGCAGGGCTTGGTGTAGGCTTGCAAGGCCCCCCCTGACCTCAGCCGTCACCCACATCCTTCTTTAATCCTCTTTTAATGAAGCACAGAGGGGTGGGATGGTATCAGCAGGGTGGGAGGGGGTGGCCTGGGGTGCCTTGGCCTTGGGGTGCCTTGGCCTTGGGGTGCCTTGGGCTTGGGGTGCGTGCCAGCAGCTGGTTTGTCGGGAGCCCGTCAGCTCTCACGTGCTATCTTCCCTTCAGGTGTCGCATGGAGCATCCCTGCAGCTCCTCCATTGCTCAGGATCCTGCAGTGTCCCACTTGGCAGGAGCTGGGATATCAAAGGCAGCTCAAAGGCTGAGTGGCTTCTGTGGCAGCACTGAGCACTGCAGAGGAGGCTCGGCTTGAGTCAGAGAGCAGCACTGGTGAGAGAGCCACGGCAGAGATGAAATGGGGATGGAGATGAGTGAGGTGGAACCTGGGTAAGGTCCTGCTGGTGGGTCACTGAGGTCATGCAAAAGGCCCTTAATGGGGTTTGAGTTTATCAGTGCTTGTGGGGGGGTTATCAAAGGGA